GAGAAACACCTTCCAGGACTGAAAGTTAATGGAAGCCAGCAAGCACTAGGCTTGTATGCTACTTGCGTGTCCACCTGGGTGCACTTGAATGGAAATGGGGGAAGTTCAGCAAAGAAGAAATAGGCTGAGTTTGGTACTCTTTGACCTAGGCCATGGAGGCTAGGGATGAGAGGAAGGGCTGGCTGGTCTGAAATGCAAGGAGTTGTGACCCAACAGGCAATGAAACAGTCCCTGAGGACTGAGGATGAGAGAGAGAAGGTGCTGGCTGGCCTGATGCGAAGGGAAGAGTGTGACTCCAAACTTAGCAGCTGGTACCCATGACCTAGCTGGGATAGCTAGGCCTGAGCTGACCAGAACCCCACCAAATGAAGAGGAAGATGTTTGACACTGAACTGATGTTTAATTGATGAAATTTGATGGCTTGCACTGGGCTAGACATTGCTTGTTTATGGATGCAGATGCCCAAAGTTTTCAAGCAGAACAGAATATTCTCCAGAGAAAAGAATGTGCTTGTCTCCTCAAAGTACTGGTTTGATAGGGATGGGCAAATTAGAAACTGGCTATCTAAAATGGGAGAAGATAAAGGCACAAAGTGGCTGGCTTACATGTTTTCATGGGTGTGGTTATTTTTAAACTGATGGTGATTCTGTCATCCTCTTGCGGGGTTAGAAGAGAGCAGAAGATGTGGCCTCCCTTCCCCTTTGGCATGTGCCATCCTCAGAATATTTGGTATTCTGGAGCCCGTAAACACAGCCAATATGTCATTTCATATCCTTGAGGGTCTTCCTAATTTTCTCACTGAACCTCTAGTTACCAAGCATCATAGCCTTCTGGGAATGGTCCCTTCTGACAACATTACCAAAGTACGTGAGAGGAAGTCTGGCCATTCTAACTAAATAACATTTAGTATTATTAAAAAAGTAAAATCAATAGATGGATTACAAATTAATTTTTGTTGAAGTTCATTTCAAAGGTTATATTTTAGCTAAAAATGAAACAAATGAATAAAAAAGGGAGAAGCCATCTGTATCAGACACCATCCCCAATATCCTTAACTAAGATATAGAAAGAACTGCTTACATGGCAGCACCGTCCACTTTGCAGATATGAGGCTTCATCCAGCAACTTCAGCAGTTCCTGAAACTGACCATTCTGGTACTCAAAGCGTTCTCCAAAAGTAATGGAACAAATGATATTGGAAACTGCATTGTTGATCTTGAAGTGAGGGTCAAAAGGCTGTCCTGGAGGCAGAGGAAGGAAGACATGGATCTTCAGAGTGATTTGTTTCTGCTTTCTAAG